CGGGGGGCAGGAGCGTGAGCAAACCTCAGCGGTTTCCACGCTGGCTGCTTTCGGGGAGGTGACGCGCTCGCGCCCGTGTGCCTGCCAGCCCGCATCGCCTCCGCCGCGAAACGACCCAACCGATCCGCCCGAAAGCAGGGTGCGGGAGGACGGCCTGCGCTGCCAGGGGTGTCTGGGGCTGCCCGTAGCCTGTCCGCCTCTGCTGTTAAGATGCTGCAGGAGACTAAAGTCTCTGCTAGAGGCCAAAAGGGCAAGATCGGGGAGAAACGGGATGGGATTCAGAGCTCCGCGCCTGCCCGAGGAACGCACGGCCCGTGAGCCGATTTAGCCCAATTTCACGTGTGTGTGTGTGCGTGTTTTTCTGCTCCTCAGCGGTTACTGTAGGGTTTGTCGAGGCTGATTTACTGGTGACGCCTGGGAGGTGGGCTCTACGGGACGCCACCGCCTCTGAGCGCGGTGGGGACCTCCGTTATCTCTTAGCTCAGGCAGGACGCAAGAATAAGCAGGGCGGTGATGGATGTTTAGATTCGCCAGCTGAACTAAAACACCACAGGGAGAAAAAGGAAAACCCCGCAGATCTAAACACTTTGCTCAGCCTAAATCCAGATATCTTATTTCATTTCAAATAAGCTGCGTATTTCCTTAATATTTATCCCCCCTCTGCCTAAATGTAAGTAACTGTAAACGCAGATCAAATGTAGATTAAACATAAGGGGCTGGCCATAAACTTCTGAGACGCTGGTTCAAAAAGAAAGGTCTAAAATGCCGCCTTTTGTTCTCAGCTGGGAAGCGTTTGCATCCCTTCTTTGGTCCAACAGGAATTTCGAAGGGTAAAGTAAAAAAGGATCGTTCTGTACTGATGCGCTTGGCATCCGCGAGGCTGGGGTCTTACCGTGTTCCCGGTTGTGCTCTTGTCTCGGTAGGGGTAGTTTCTGCCTGCTCCTCCTGCGGGTTTCCGACGGAGAAAATTAATAGGCAGAAAGCCAGCAGCGTGAGAAAGGTGGGACTTCCTGACAGAAAGGGACTTGTGCAGTGCTGTGAAAGGAAAATTATTTCTATGCAATTTAACATGAATAAGTGTCTCTTGAAGATTAAACAAGAAACGCAAGGGACAAAAAGGAAAAAGTGTTTGCTCTAGCACCACGGTGGTGGTGCTGCTCAGCAGTGGACACCGGACACTGATGTTTTCTCTACTGATGCAGCACAAACAGCCGAGGTGGGAGCAGCTCGGACCTTTGCCAGCAGACAGCGTTCGCCTGGGACGAGGCGAGCGTGGTGGCAAAGCCACAGCCGAGGTGGGCACAAGGCCCAAGCCTGCACGGACTCAGAGCAGCTGCCCTGTACCGCTACGGTGCGGTCTGTGAGACCTTCCCGAGCACCAGCCACCGCAGAGCCATGCAGAGGCAGTGGTCGCTCGGTCCCTCTGCACCTGACGGTTGAGTTTGCTTGTGTGCAGATCTCTGCGAGGCGTCTCCCGCAGCGGAGACACCGCAGCTCCCCGGGACACCTCACCCCAGGGTTCGCTGCTCCCTCAGTCAAGTGGCAGCTCAGAAAACTGGTGTCGTAGCACCACCGCAGCGTCGAGGTGCTCCTCTCTTCAGCGGGCCCTGGCATGGATCCATGCACAGACTTTAGAAGTTTTTTGGCAGTGAAAAAGTTTTACAGCGTTGTGGACCCAATTCTGTAATGTGCAGCAGGCAAATGCGCCAGCTGCCAGCTGTCCACCCTGCTAAGCCCTTCTGACGTTATCCTCCGATTCCTGTAATTAATTAGCCTTTCCTATGAAAAATCTATCCAGAATATTGTAAGCTAGGAATGGGAAAGTAATTGCTCATAGAAATGTGTCTAAATTGCTGAAATGGTACCAACCACATAACAAATGTGATTTTGACAAATGTTCCTGCTGCATCCAGCAGCTACAACTCTTTGAGGAGTGGAAGGACTCAGCCAGTGGGTACACGACTAGAGAACTGATGTTTGACTTTTGATTTCGTACTTAATTGGAGATAATATGTTACGTGCATTTTACTTACCCTTGTACCTGCCTGCTGGGGACTCTGGCGTATCAAGGGCCTTCATCTGGCGTATCAAGGGCATTCAGTGCACAAAGCCCTTGTGTTCCAGCTTTGAGCAGAGGCCGCAGAAAGTGCTGCGACTGCATCGTCACACGTAGTCCTTGCATCCCAGGACCAGCCGCGGAGGAACACGCCTCAGAGGGAGGAGAGCACGGCTGAGCAGATACGGTATGTACGGAGACAGAGAAAGATTTGATGCATGATAAGTGGGGAAAGGGTGGGACTTCCCAAAGCAGCGCACAGAATTAGGTGCCTGATTCCCATTGATTTCCCTCTGACAGAGATTAATGTACTGTTTTCCGCTTTGCGATGTGGCCAGATGCATTGGCAGGGGAGGATAATATATCAATCAGTGGATAATATGGCTGCTTGCTAACTTCGATGAATGGTAGAGAGATATTTCACGTTAGAGTCTGAATCAAGCTTTTGGCTGTTTATCATGTTTTGTTTTGTTTTGTTTTTTTGTGGTGATTGCAAGATACATTTGCAAGGGTTTATGGGACACTGCACCAACAGCGGGTAAGGCTGAAGTGTGGAGTGGGTGTCATGGGGGGAGGCAGCAGCAGGCTTTAAAATGACAAAAACTCTGGTTTATTTTCATTTCCCCCAAATTCATAGGCAAATACAGGAGGAATAATTTGACTAAATGGTATTTTCCAACCACCTTAGGCGTTTTGCTGAGGCTGCATTTGCATGACAGAGCTTTTTATTTTCCACCTTCTGATACTCAGCAGGAGAGGGACATTATTGTCACTGGAATATTCCCGATTCAGTGAAATTTGAGTGGGCTAATTAAATGCTGTAAGAACCTTGCCAAAGCCCAACAGTTTTGTGTGAAAGGAAACGGCACGGCGTCCCCTCTCTTTATTTAAATGGGAGGAGAGGAAATATGGGAGTCTAATGAACTCTATAAGTTCCTGTGGCTTATTCTGAGCAAAGCAACCTTTAGCACTATTTGCATTATTAATATCCCAGATGGGCAAACTGGCTGACATTTGACACCAGATAAAAATCACATGAAAAACTTTATTAACTTCTTCCTGCTGTCTTCTTTGGACTCCTTCTCGGTCTGGGGGAGTGAATACCACTCCTTGGAAATGTGCTGGAAATGGTGAGCTCTTTTTGTCTGCTCTCTGTATTAATTTCATATTCTGTTTATTTAAGCGCTGAAAGCTTCTGCCTTGGAAGTCAATACCAGGCTGCCATTTGTGACAGTTGACTTTGGATGAGGAATATGTTACACTAGGTTGACAGAAAGAGAGAAGGCTATGAACTTCCATCTAAAGAAAGCAGAAAATGGTTATCATTCTTCAGCGATAACCCTTTCTTCAGTGGCTCAGGGCAGAATGAAGCAGCCAGGCCTTAGTTCCCACAAGGGATCCACACTTTCTGTTTTTAGGGAAATCTCAAGTGTTTGCATGCTCTTCAGTGTCTCCAGTACCTCTTGCTTTCCCTGAGCAACTGTTGGACTAATGGTCTAACTGGGGCCTTGTGTAGCTCAGTGGCACGGCTGGTTCTGGGCATCTGGATGTGACAGAAACGTGGGTGTGATTGGTGGCTGTGTCTGGGACAGATCACCATGCCCTCCTCTACTGAGGATTTTTTTGTCTCTGAGTACTGAACCCCTAAAATAATCCAAGTTAAAAATGCCCTTCTTTGATATGTGCCCTTTTAACCCCAGGTTAGATACCCAGCCAAACGCTGAATCATTTCAGTGGTCCAGTTTATAGCCTGGCTCCTTACAGCCTCTTCTTTGAATGCTACTGAGATGGCAATAAGCTGTGGCAAGGGGTGGGAGTGGGTGGCTGTGAGTTCAGCTGGGAAGGAGGAACTTCTTAAACTGGATTTACCACCAAACCCAGGGGCTCAAGAAGCTTCACCCCTTCAGCCACAGTTGTACCACACAAGGTGGTTGGGACTGGTGTGGGGCCTCTAGGAATACTGTATTATGTCTAGGCGAGAACTGTAAAAGAAACCTCAAGAAAAATCATGCAAATAGCTAACACGGATCCCAAGCTTTCCAGGAGTGGAGCTATGGTAAGATCCCCCTCCCCTGGCATGTCCGGTGTCCCTGTAGAGGGTTGATGTGCCTTGTTCTCAGGAGCTTTGGATTGTCAGGAGCCTGAAAAGTTAGATTTGCGCTAGGAGGATGATCTTACATACTTTTTTCCTGTATGACAGCTGAGACATGGTGAGAAGAAATGCTCAAATTGTTTTGTGCCCAGATTGCTGTTATAAGTGAATGCCTAAGGCTAAATGTTTCTGAATGATTTCACTGTCCAGTCAGGACTGTTGATTCTGCTCCATCAGGTGCTGGCAGCTTGCTGCATGTGTTGAGAATTGCTGGGCTTTTAAAATGCCTAAAATATATACTCTGCCTTTGCCAGTGCTCTGAGAAACTTGGTAAGGTCCCCAAAAGGTCAGAGGGACCTTGGAAGTGTTCCAAAAGATTTGCTGGAATAAAAGCGCCTCTTCTTGTTTCTCTGCACTGTGGGTAAGCACTGCATCCACCTGCCAGCCCCTCTGAGATCTGCAAGCAGCAAAGCGCAGAAGCATGTGCTTCCCTTTAACAAGTGAGTAATATCATTAAAGCTGATAAGGCCAGTCATGTGCCTGGCATTAGATTTGGTTTATGCTCTGTGTTGGGTTAGTGTTTGACATTTTATCAGCTTCCTTTCAAGCTTCTGCAAACTCATCTCTGCTCCGGTGTCTGCTCCAAGTCCCCATCCGCTGCGCGGCTTTCCCACCTAGCCGGCTGCAGCTCACTCCTGGGATTACTCCCTCGTTTTGGCATCAGCATGTTCCCCCTCCCCTCCTTGCCTTGCTGCAGAGGCATTGCATGCAGCACGTGGGAAGAATATTACCGCTGTTGTTTCCAAACTCCAGTCAGTGGCCCCATAATTCAGAGGCCAGAGAATGGATGATGCTGCAATTACAATCAGGCAGGAGGCGATGAACTGAAGAAAAGCATTATTAAAACTGCAGCAGCTTCAGGTTGATCTGCGCATAAGAGTTTGCTGCAGTCGTGCTTCCTGTCTCCTCCTGCCATAGGCAAAAGATCTTTGCTTTCTGTACAAGCGTACAGCAGGTGACACAGAGCCATCGTTGTCATCATCATGCCCTTCCCAACCCCCAGCAGGGAATTCAGAAGGACTCTTTCTCTTCTGAGGCTGTTCTCAGAGTGGTTTGAAACCACCTTGTTTTTCTTTCCATCTAGCAGGCCAGTCTGCTTGAATAATGGCTCAAAGATCTATTGAGATGTGGCTCTGCCATCTCTCTCTCTCTCTCTCTCTCTCTCTCTCTCTCTCTCTCTCTTTCTCTTTCTTCTGGGGAGGAAAAGAGCAGCATGTGGCCCATACACTGCCTCAGAAGGGTTACATTTGTCATATTCTTGCATTGCCTTCTTTCTTCCATGGATGAAGTTCCTGCTGCCCAAGCTGTAATCTGCAGACCTCGAGAGCTCTTCTTCTGTAAGATGTGAGATGGTGCCATGTGGATACATGGGGTGGGGGAAGGCCCTTCTGCTGGGCTGGACAAGGGTGTATGTCCCCTGACACAGCATGGCGCAGTAGCCTGCAGAATGGGAGAGCGGCCCCTTGTGAGGGTGGCTGCCAGTGTCCCAGATGGATGCGTGAGCCTGTTGGGTACGTTTTGTGCTTTTAAAGGATGAGGCTTCGTAGGGCTAAACCTGGCTCTTGGGCCCCCCCCAAATTGTGCCAAGGCACATGTGATGTGGGAGACCACCTCAGCTCTGGACATGAGCACCTGTGGTCATGAGCAGTAGGTGTCAGGTTGAGGAGCAGTTGTGGTGTGTCCCCCAAGGCAATGGGTTACAGACACTTCTTGGTATCTTTCAACAGACTGAGACTTGTCAA